CGCCCTTCGCCCTGCCCGTGGCCATCGCGCCGGGCTCGACCTTCACCAACGGCGCGCCCGATGTCGAGGTGGTCTCCCTGCGCACCTCGCAGACCACGGCCTCCACCCAGTGCGCGGGCAACATCGTCGTGGGCCTCTCGGCCACCATCGACCACCACCACCACGACGACCACGACCACAACGCGTAGATTGGTCGCCCGCGAGGAGAGCGCGATCTCACACCGGCGTGAGCGCCAGCGGCGGCAAGGCGCGCGGTGGCCTACCTGGCCTACACCCGGACCCAGGGCCGACTGGGGCAGCAGCCGCCAGCGCGGCGGCGCAGCTCGATTCGGCGACTCCGCGCTGGAGCGCGAGGTGCAGCGCGCCCAAGAGAACGACTTGTTCGAGGTGGACACCTTCTCTCGCCTGCCGGCGACAAAGGATCAACATCGCAAGCTCAACAAGGAGTCGTCGAAATCCACTGCTCTATGCGTAGTAGGGTCCCTGGCGCCGCCGTTGGCGCAGGTGTTGTGTGCACGAGCACGAACAGTTCGAGTTGAGTTGGCCGCCGTTGGCGCACGCCGTCGGGCACGAACACGAGCAGTCGGTGTCGTTGCGCACGCCGCCGTTGGCGCACTCATTGGAGCACTCGCACCTGTCCTGTTGTTTGGTCGGTTTCTTGTGTGCAATCCCAATCTTGCGGCGCCGCGGGAGGAAAGCGAGACGCACACCAGGCGTGAAGTGAAAACGAGATGGCACTGGAGGTCGAAAGTGAGACGCACACCAGCAGCGGCGCAGCCATGAAGTGAAAGACCCGGAGTAAACGAAACGGTGCACCGGAGGCGACTTGCCCGGCGGAGCACTGGTTCAGTGTTCTCTCTCTCTCTCTCTCCAAACCAACCAAACCAAACCAACAAGCGCGCCATGGTGAGCACTGCACGGAACTTGGTCTATCTGGTGGTCTTCCTCGTGGCCATCTCCGCCGGCCGTGTCAGCGCTCAGACGCCACAGTGCGCTCTCGCCTTTCAGCTGAGCCAGACCATCACCTGCGTCAATGGCGGATCGTGGGTCGATGTCTCCGAAGGCTTCGGCTACTGCTCCTGTCCCAACTCCTGCTCGGAGGGCTACTTGGGCCAGCTGGACTGCTCCTGTACCAGCGCCTTCTGCGCCTCGGCTCAGTTCAACCTTGACTGCACCTGCGACTGCACCGGCAAGGTGTGCTACAACAGCGGCACAGTGACGGATTCCTGCGGTTGCTTGTGCAACAACACCTGCCTGCGCGACGGCCTGAGGAATTCGGAGTGCGGCTGTCAATGCTACTACGCCTGCGCCAACGGGGGCCAACTCAACCCGGACTGCTCGTGCGAGTGCTCCACCGAGTGCGTCAACGGCGGCTACCCTCGGCTCGGACTGCTCGTGCTCGTGCCCCACGGCGTGCGCCAACGGTGGGGTGCAGGACCCCGCGGACTGCTCGTGCT